ATGCAATTTTATCACATGTGTAGCTTCATCTAACTACAATAATCAAGATATAAAACTGTATATAATGTTGTTAAGTAGCAATTTGAAAAGGGCTATAGCCAGGTGTGGTGGCTCATGCCCATAATCCTAGCACTTTGGGAGGCCGAGGTGGGAGGATCACTTCAGCTCAGGAGTTCAAAATCACCCTGAGCAAGTGCAAGACCCTGTCTTTACTAAAAATAATTAGCCTAGTGTTGTGGCAGGTGCCTGTAGTCTTAGCTACTCAGAGGCGGAGGCAAGAAGATCCCTTAAACCCAGGAGTTTGAGCTTGCTGTGAGCTAAGCTGATGCCATGGGACCCCAGCCTGGCCAACAGTGAGACTTGATCCAGAATAACCAAAAAACAAACATTAATTGACCCCAGAAAATTTGACAATTAACTCAGCATTAGAGCAAACACCCATAGGCCCTTGGGAAGCTGAGACAAGAGGATCACTTAAGCCCAGGAGTTAAGAGGTTGCAGTGAGCTATGATGACACCACCGCCTAGATGACAGAATTCGTTTTGCTAACTAGTGTTTATTGTATAGCTAAAGGATTACTATACCTTGAAGTAATTTGTCCAGCTCTTTGGAGCCAGTAGTAATCTGTATGATCTCTGAACGCCTTTGGTGGAATTCAGTTGCAGTGGTGAAACCCATTGGAACTAATTTAGCAGCCTCAGCCTAGGAAAATGAGAAATGTTAAAGCAAAAAAATAGTATTAGTAAAAGAAGAACTAGGCATGTGGTGGGAAAAGAAAACATATAACAAAACATCCAGAATAATTTCTCTTTAGAAAATCATGCAAAAACGGCTCAGTGCCTATAGCTCAGCGGTTAGGGCACCAGCCACATACACGAGGGTAGCGGGTTCAAACCCAGCCCACGCCAGCTGACCAACAAAGACAACTACAACAAAAAATTGCCCTGGCAGGTGCCTATAGTCCTAGCTAGTTAGGAGGCTGAGGCAAGAGAATCACTTAAGTCCAAGAGTTTGTGGTTGCTGTGATGCCATGGCACTCTACGGAGGGTAATACAGTGAGACTCTGTCTCAAAAAAAAAAAAAAAAAAAAAAAGATAATCTAATTCAAAGACTTCATAAAGATCAGTCTTTAAACTGCCAACTAATACATTTACATAGTTAAAAAAAGTATTACAGGTCCAAGCATATGTCCCTCACCTGATTTATGACAAAAACATGCACTCAGTCCATATTTATATTTTCATCTCCTGTTAAAACAAACAGACCGTATCTTTTCACTTTCTACTTTGTAAAATAAGAATGTATTTGTCCTTCTACCTTTTCTCCCTACATGTCTACTTCCCATCTCTATTATCTGTATCTTTTCTTTTACATTGTCAAAGTCAAGACATTCACATCTTACTTTGTAATTATACATATGATTTCTATAATAGATGGTAGGTTGATTCTACAGTTGAAAAATAAACGCATTGAGGCCAGGGGCAGTGACTCGCTTGAGCTCAGGAGTTCAAGACAAGCTTGAGCAAGAGCAAGACCCCTGTCTCTTAAAAAAAAAGAAAAATAGCCTGGCATTGTGGCATCTACCTGTAGTCCCAGCTACTTGGGAGGCTGAAGCAAGAGAATCACTTAAGCTTAAGAGTCTGAGGTTGCAGTGAGCTATGGTGTCTCTGGTACTCTTTCAGAGGTCAGAAAGTGAGACTCTATGTAAAAACAAAAGAACAACTTGGCGTTGTGGTGGGCACCTGTAGTCCTAGCTCCTTGGGAGGCTGAGGCAAGAGGATCATTTGAACCCAAGAGTCTGAGATTGCTGTGAGCTATGACACCATGGCTCTCTACCAAGGGTGACAAAAAAAAAAAAAAAAAAAATTTGTAGTATTTATGTCAAATCCCATGATAACTGGAATTCTCTACAGAAAATTTAAATCTATGCAAGGAGACATATATAAAGTTAAGAAACTAGTAATATGGTTCTGGAAAGGAGAAAAGGATGACAGGAGAATGAGGAATGGAAGGAGAAAGATCACCTTTTATTATTTACCCTATTGTATTATTTCCCCTAAGTCCTCCTTAGGTCAAATATGTAATATTTGTTCTCACCAGAATCTTATCAGCCTTGGCTTCACTAATTCCCTTAATATTTATTAGCTCCTTCTTTGGTGCATAGGCAACAGCCTCCACAGTATGGAATCCAGCTTCTTCCAATTTCTTCACATCATTTGCATTTATGCCACATTGCTGTAAGTGAAGAAAACCGTGGACAAATTTCAGTTTCAGTTCTCTCATCTGTCTAATGCAGATAATATACACCCTATGTATTTCACAGAAGTGTTTGAAAAACTGTAATACAGTCGCCCCTTGCTATCCACAAGATTGCTTTCAGAATCCCTAGCAAATAATAAAATCTGTAGATGGTGAGTCCCTTATATAAAATGACGTAACATATATATATACTTGTAAACCACACACGTCCTCATATAGTTTAAGCCATCTCTAGATTACTTATAGTACCTAACAAAATTAAGCACTATGTCAATAGTTATGCTGTATTTTTAAAATTCATATTATTATTATTATTTTTTGAGACAGAGTTTCACTATGTCGCCCTCAGTAGAATGCCGTGGCGTCACAGTTCACAGCAACTTCAAACTCTTGGGCTTAAGAGATCCTCTTGCCTCTGCCTCCTAAGTAGCTGGGACTATATAGGCACCTGCCACAACACCCAGCTATTTTTTTGGTATTGTTGTTTTACCAGGTCCTGGCCAGGTTCAAACCCACCAGCCCTGGTGCATGTGGCCAGCACCCTAACCACTGAGCTATGGGCACCGAGCCAATTCATATTATTTTTTATTGTTGTACTCTAATTTTTTATTGGTTTTTCTAATATATTTTCAATTTGTAGTTGGCAGAACCTGGTGATGTGAAAACATGTGGATCCAGAGGGCCAACTGTACTACATGCAAAAACCAAGAAGTATATCCTACATATGAGGTATTTAATAACAAATTATCAACCTTTTCAAGGGCTGGGATGGTACCTGTAATCCTCACACTCTGGGAGGCCAAAGTGGGTAGATTGCTTGAGCTCAGAAGTTCAAGATCAGCTTAAACATGAGAAAGATCCCATCTCTAACAAAAATAGTGGGGTACTGTGGCAGACGCCTGTAGTCCCAGCTATTCAGGAGGCTGAGGCAAGAGGATTCCCTAAGCCTAAGAATTTGAGGTTGCTGTGAGCTATGATGTCATAGCACACAATCACAGATGACAAAATGAGACTGTCTCAAAACCAAAACAAACAAACAAAAAAATCCTGTTCTTTACCAAACCCATTAGTTTTAAACTAGCACTATGTCATGTATATTAACAATAACTCTTAGGGCCAGGCTCAGGCCTGTAATCCCAGCACTTGGGAGGCCAAGGCCACAGGTTCAAAACCAACCTGAGCTAGAGCGAGACTCCATCTCTAAAAAAAAAAATAGCCAGGTGGGCAGCACCTATGGCTCAGTGAGTAGGGTGCCAGCCCCATATACCGAGAGTGGTGGGTTCAAACCTGGCCCTGGCCAAACTGCAACAACAAAAAAATAGCCAGGGGTTTTGGTGGGCGCCTGTAGTCCCAGTTACTCAGGAGGCTGAGGCAAGAGAATCGCCTAAGCCCAGGAGTTGGAGGTTGCTGTGAGCTGTGATGGTACAGCACTCTACCAAGAACAATAAAGTGAGACTTTGTCTCTAAAACAAACAAAAAATAGCCAGGCACTGTGGCGAGTGCCGGTAATCCCAGCTACTTAGGAGGCTGAGGTAAGAGAATCACTTGAGCCCAACAGTTTGAGGTTGCTATGAGCTATGAAGCCGTAGCACTCTACTGGGGGTGACAAAGTGACCAAGTGAGACTCTGTCTCAAAAAAAACCTCTTAACTGATAATTAGTTTTAAACCAGCAACTCCAAACCTTTTGTGAATGATTACAAATAATGACCTAATTACAAATAATGACCCAATGAGACCTTGGGCCCTAAAAGTAAGGTAACCAGATGTCCTGTTTTTTAACCATTTGTCTGGGTCCCACAGCGTTTTTAAAAAGTCCAGATTTTTGGAAAGATGTACAACAATCTAGGGAAGGGTGGGACAACGGGAAGGGATTATACGGTTTTCCTAGGCTGCTGAAAACGTTAATTAACTCCATTTGGGAATGAAGAGGTTAATGTAACTTCATCTGGAAATGAAAAGGCTAATGTAAACTTTCTACTCCCCCTCCTGCCCAGGCGCCCTACTCCTTTGAGCCACAGGCACCGCCCTATACATAATTTTTTTTAATGTATTATATTTGTAAATTGTACTTATGTTGAAATTAAAAAAAAATTAAAATACTATTTTTGCGTGCTATGAAAATTTTTGTTGCTCCATATAGATCAAATTTTTAATCAAGAACACACCCCTCCTCCACCCCATCACCTCCACCCCCTTCGCCCAACCCCCCACCCCTCCCACCCCCGATCAATGGTGTCTCACTTTACCAATGTTAAAATCTGGTCACTGGTTAAAAGGCCACTTTATTTTATTTTTTGCAATGTGCTGATTTTATATACAATTTGAAATATTTTCATCAAACTGGTTAACATAGCCTTCACAGCATTTTCTTAGTTATTGTGTTAAGACATTTATATGCTACACTTAGTAAATTTCACATGTACCCTTGTAAGATGCACCCTGGGTGTGGTCCCACCAATTACCCTCCCTCCCCCTGTCCTCCCCCTCCCCTCCCCTCCCTCCTTCTTCTTGGGCTATAATTGGGTTATAGTTTTCATATGAAAGCTATAAATTGGTTTCATAGTAGGGCTGAGTACATTGGATACTTTTTCTTCCACTCTTGAGATACTTTGCTAATAATATATTATAGCTCCATCTATGTACCTTTTTCATGTTTACATGGATGGAGCTGGAACATATTCTTAAAAGGCCATTTTAAACCAATGTTTTCCACAACAAGCACACATTGAAAATGATACTTTTACACTATGCCAGGGTACACAGAATTGAAGAGAGCACTATCTTGGCACATCCATTCCCTTTTTGATGACCAATGACTGGAAAGCACTGCTCTCAGAACTGACATTAAGAGTGAGAAAGGGGGTGGCGCCTGTGGCTCAAAAGGGTAGGACATCGGCCGGAGGTGGTGGGTTCAAACCCAGCCGGGGCCAAAAATAAAAAATAAAATAAAATAAACCTATAAAAAAATAGAGTGAGAAAGACTGGCCAGGTGAGGTGACTCACACCTTTTAATACTAGAACTTTGGACGGCTGAGGCGGGAGGATCACCTCGAGGCCAGGAATTCAAGACCAGCCTGAGCAACATAGCAAGAAGATGTCTCTACAAAAATTTAAAAGATTAACCAGGGGCGGAGCCCGTGGCTCAAAGGAGTATGGCACCCGCCCTATATGCCAGAGGTGGTGGGTTCAAACCCAGCCTCTGCAAAAAACTGCAAAAAAAAAAAGATTAACCAGGCATTCTGGGAGGCTGAGGCAACGGGATTGCTTGAGTTCATGAGTTCGAGACCAACCTGAGGAAAAGCAAAACTCTATCTCTAAAAAAAATAGCTGGGCATTGTGGTGGGCACCTATAGTCCCAGCTACCTGGGAAGTTGAGGCAAGAGAATCTCTTGAGCCCAAGAGTTGCTGTGAGCTATAATGCTACAACACTCTATCCAGGGCAACCGAGTGAGGCTCCATCTCCTAAAAAAAAATTAAATAAATAAAAAAATAGAGTCTTAAGCTTTACTGAGAGAAGCAAGGAATATGCAAAAGAAAGAAGAATCAAGGCTTTTTCTCTTACTTCTTTCAGCCAAAATCAGCAATGAGGACTGACAATTAAGTTCATGAACTCACCACCAAGGGCTTAAATCGGCTGCACTGTACAAAACTGTGTGTCTAAATCAGGGGTCCTCAAACTTTTTAAACAGGGGGCCAGTTCACTGTCCCTCAGACAGTTGGAGGGCCGGACTGCAGGCCCTAGGACAAGTTGGCTGCTAAGTGGTGGCAAAAACACCTGGCAGGCCAGATAAATGTCCTCAGCTGCCGCATATGGCCTGTGGGCCATAGTTTGAGGATGTCTGGTCTAAATCCTCAGCTGACTGTGAGACCAAGTAAACATCAATAGAGAAACAGAAAAATCTAAAGTGAAAATCCTGGCATGAGAAAGGCATTCGCAAAAATGGTTCTGAAAGCGCTCACCAGTGAACAAAAGCAAAGAACAGTCAAAATTGCCAAGACCTTTTAGACAAAGGCAAGATGATGTTTTGGGCTATTATCACTGGTGATGAAACATGGGTGTACTAATACAACTCAGAAACAAAGCATCAGAGTCACAGTGGAAGTCAGCCAATTCTCTGCAACCAAAAATGTTCTGTCGGTCCAACTCAAGAGTCAAAACAATGTTACTAACCTTTTTTGATACCAGAAGGCTTGTTTGTTATGAATTTGTACCAACTGAATAGTTAACTAAGTTTACTATTTGGAAGTGCTGAAAAGGCTGCATCAAAAAATTAAACAAAAATGACCTGAACTTTTCACCAAAAATTCATGGCTCTTGTGTCATGACAATGCACCAGCTGACACAGCACTGTCTGTGAGGGAGTTTTTAGGCCAGTGAACAAATAACTGTATCAGAACCACCCTCCCAACACACCTGATCTGGCTCCCCAGTGACTTTTTCTTTACCAGAAGATAAAAGAAATAATGAAAGGAAGTCATTTTGATGACATTCAGGACATTAAGGGTAATATGACAACTCCACTTTGAAGGGTGGACTAGATGCATCAGTGCATAGCTTCCCAAGGAGAGTACTTCAAAGGTGACCCTAGTGATATTCAGCAATAAAGTACGTAGCACTTTTTATAGGATAAATTTGTGAACCTAATTGTTAGGCCTTGTACAATAGGCAAAAATAGTACAAGGTCCCAGCTCCAGTGCTAGTCTTGTATAGTGTCTTAAATTAGAGCTGGGCTCTTACACCTTAATACCTCCAAGCTCTTCTCTTGGTCAAAGACAGCTGTCAGTACAAATGAGGTTAATGAAGGGAAGATGCTCTCTCTGCTCCTGGCATAACTAGTCTAGGCCACTGTAACTCCCTAAACAGCACTCCACCATGTGATGGTAGGCCTTAATTTCTGACAATCAGGTTTGAGCAGGAAAACTGAGAAAGTAGGGGAATTGTTGACACAAGAGGCCTGGCCCCACATTTTAGCAACAACCTTGAGTCTTTCCATAGGATCCTGATAACTCTCCTAAAAATTCTAACTTGGGTCTTGACCTTAGTGGTAAACCTATGGCTTAGGTAAACACTGTGTTATCTCTCATTAGACTACTTCTACAACTAAGTAAAAGAATCTAGTATAGCTAATTTGAAAATTAGCAACTAAGCACATACCTCTAACCGTGAAATAGGTTGTGGGCCAAAACTTTCTTCTTCCACTGAAGTATCTGCATTTGCTTCAAGCTGCATCTGCATAGCCATTACTGAAAAACACAGATGGCAATCAGTATGAACGCTAGAGACATAAGGTGGGGCTAAGTACAGAGCTCAAACTTAATTTTGCAATAAATCTCTGAAGAATTACTTCATAAGCTTTTGGTCTAATCACTGACAACCCATAGCAGGAAAAAGAGCAAACTTGGGGCGGCTCCTGTGGCTCAAAAGGGTAGGGCGCCGGTCCCATATGCCAGAGGTAGCAGGTTCAAACCCAGCCCTGGCCAAAAA